CCTGAGGGGAGGACGAGCACCGACCTGTGGCGGCTGCCCTCCCCTGGGTCTTGACACCTGCTCAGAACAGCCAGCCTCCCTGCCCTCCGCGGACCTGCGTCCCGCCCAGGAACCCGATCCGAGGCCGGGAGGCCTGTCCCTCCCAGGAGGGAGGCTGTTTATTTCCGGGAGGCGCTCGGAGCCTCTGGGACAGTCAGGTCGGAAACTTTGCCGTGCTGGGAACTTTGCCATCTCCTCCTCTTCTCTGAGATGGGAAGGGGGCGCCAGGAAAACAAACAAACAAACAAAACAATACACGACCTTCTCTGTATGGATGCCATGTTGTTTTCATAAACATCCGGGGTGGAGGGGCAAGAGCCAGCGACCTGGGAACCGCGGCTGCCACCCTGAGGGCAGAGTAAATGTCTGAAAGATTTCCATTTCTGCCAAAAGAAGGGACTAAATATTGTTTCCTCCCAGGTGCACTCTCACCCAGGCACTGGCCTGGCCCCTCCCTGAGCTTGAAGGCAGGTGGCTGTGTGGGTCTCACTGACTGCTGGGGCCTCTATGCCCTGCGAGGTGAATGGACAGCCGCAATGAGGAGCAAGCCGTGGGTTCAAATCCTGTCCCAGGCCTTGGCCGGCTGTGCAACTTGGCATCACTTCTCTTCATGGGATTGTGGCAGGGATTAAGTGAAAGAGATTAAGGATGGGCCTGTCTACAGTGGGCTCTCAGTAAACGTGAACAGATGTGGGTTTCTGTGCAAGCCCTTCAGGTTCCCTCCACTCTGGGAGCTTTTCTGTCCTCTCAATAAATCCTGCTTAAAAAAAAAAAAAAGATGTGGGCTTCCTTTCCTTTTGGCTGGGCCACATCACTCCCTACTCCCCACATCCCCCACTCTCTCAATCCCTCATGTCTTAAGAGCTGGAATACAGAAAAGTGCCTCGCCTGACTTTCTCCTGGTACCTGGCTGGTGCCGTAAGAAGGAAAAGAGAAAGGGGTCAGTTACCCTCTACAGAGTTGATCTTTGCTCATTTTCTGAAGGCTCAGAAGACTCCCGTCTCCCCCTCTGCCCCTCCTGACCTGTCACTAGCTCTTGCCCCACCGGTGGTTGGCAAAGCAAACCATGCAAACCAAGGCCAAGCCAGGGCCTGGGAGGCCAGTAGGCAGGCAGACTGTGTCTCATGTGATGAGGGTCCAGCAGCCTCAGCAGCTTTTAGGCGCTCTCTGCTCTGCAACATTGACTCAAGGAGGTCTCATGGATGCCTGGCACCCACTTGGTCCTCTCTCCTCTGCCTCCATTTCTCCCTGGTAACCCACTTGGAATCCAGTAGCATCTCGAGCCTCACTTGTTCAAAACTGAGCTCTGGAGTTCTCTCTGAGCCACTGCTCCTGCCCTGGTAAATGGCACATTCCATCCACTTAGTGCCCAAGGAGTCTTTTGTTTGTTTTTTTTTTGAGTCGGAATCTCACTCGGTTGGCCAGGCTGGAGTGCAATTTCACTCTCATGGTCACCACAATCTTGACCTGCTGGGCTCAGGCGATCCTTCCACCTCAGACTTCCCAGTAGCTGGAACCACAGGTGTGTGCCACCACATCCAGCTCCATCCTTCATTCTTCCCTTCCCTCACCTTCCACACCATCAACACTCCAGGAACCTGACTGCCTTTTGCAGTCTCTGTGGTTACCATCCTGGCTCTACCCATCACATCCCCATGCTATGGCCTCCTGATTTTCCTCCCTGTTTTCATCCTGGCCCTTCCAAAGTCCTCACAATTGCCAGAGAGATCAGATCATTAATGTAAACCAGATCCTCTCCCTTCCCTGCTAGAACCTTCTGTGGTTCCATTTCACTCCAACTAAAACCCAAAGCCTTTTCCTACAATGCCCTGTGTGAGTGTCCCCTGCCAACTCCTTGACCTTGATCTCTGCTCCTCCTCCCAGCTTTTTAAACCTCGACCTACTTTTTATTCTTCAAACATGTCAAGGTCATTCTCATCTCAGGACTTTTACATTTGTGGTGCCCTCTGCCCGAAACACCCATCTTCTCACAACTGAGAATGACTCAGCTCCATCACCACCAATTCAGAAAGGCTCCCTTGACCCCTCCCCAACCCCCTGCAGTTCAACTACACGCTCTTCTCCAGGGGCTCCATCTCATTATTCTGCTTTGTTCGCATCATAACCTTATTAATTTCTAGAATTCTTATGTAGGGATATGTTTACTAATCTGTTATTTGCTCCCGCCCCAATAGAGTATAAGTTGGATGATGGCATAGACCACATCTGTAATTGCAAATTGTGGTAAGTGCTACATAAACAACTGGCAGCAATTGCTTGTATTTGAAGCACTTAGAATATTTTAAGCTTAATTAAAAAAAATTTTTTTTTGTCTCACTCCATCACCCAGACTGGAGTGCAGTGGCATGCTCACGACCACCCCAGCATCTACCTGCTGGGCTCTGGTGATCCTTCCACCTCAGCCTTCCAAGTAACCGGAACTACAGGAGTGTGCTACCACGCCTGGCTAATTTTTTGATTTATTGTAGAGATGAGGTCTCACCAAGTTGCCCAGGCTGTTCTTGAACCCGTGGGCTCAGGCAATCCCCTCACCTCGGCCTCCCAAAGTGCTGGGATTACAGGATTGAGCCACCGCTCCTGGCCAGAAAATTTTAAGCTTAAAAGGCCGAACCACTGTATTGACAAAACACGTTCTCTGAGCCATTTTAAGGGTGAGGAAAAGTCTGGAAATGACTGGTAACTTGCCTGAGTCACACAGTGCTTTCAGGGCAGTGGAACTCAGTCTTCTACCATAAGAACATGTATGGAGCAAGCTTTAATGGTGGACTTGCAGTCATGTTCCAGAAAGAACCTGATTCTAAAGACCTCAGTTCTTTACTCTCCCACTAACCAGCAAGCCCCTTTATTTCTTGGTTCCTCATTTTCTCTATCTTTAAAATAGCTATCCTATTATCATGTTGGGCTTCTTGTTTTCAGTATGCCCCAAAGAAACAGCACTGCTAAGTGGCATCCTCTTGCTGTCAGCTTGAGGGCTTTAGAGCCAATAGGGGAGCTGGTGCACCCACAGGCTCAGAAGCAGGGGCCCATGCAGACCCTCCCCAGCACTGACCAACCTGCAGAGAAGAAACGGGCCCTACATGTTCTGAATTGGATCTGTCATCAATTATTTTTGATGTATTTATTTTTTTAGCGACAAGGTTTTGCTCTGTTGCCCAGGTTGGCCTTGAACTTCTGGGCTCAAGCGATCCTCCTGCCTCAGCCTCTTGAGTAGCTAGTGGCCATCAGTTCATTTTTTAGCAAATTCTTTGGGAGCCCGTGGGACCCAGGCGATAATAAAATAGGATGTTTAAAGAAACTAAAGATGGGCCGGGTGTGGTGGCTCAAGCCTGTAATCCCAGCACTTTGGGAGTCTGAGGCAAGAGGATTGCCCGAGCCTGTGGTTTCAAGACCAGCCTGAGCAACATGGTGAGACCTCATCTCTACAATAAATCAAAAAATTAGCCGGCCATAGTAGCACATGCCTGTAGTTCGGCTACTTGGAAGGCTGAGGCGGAAGGATCGCCAGAGCCCAGCAGGTCACTGCTGGGGTGGCCATGAACGTGCCACTGCACTCCAGCCTGGGTGACAGAGCGAGACTTCAACTAAAAAAACCCCCAAAAAACCTACAAATGACCAGGCACAGTGGTGGGTGCCTGTTATCTCAGCTACTCTGGAGGCTGAGGTGGGAGGATCACTTGAGCACTTGAGCCCAGGAGTTTGAGACTGTGATCGCACCACTGCACTCTAGCCTGGGCAAGAGTAAGACCCCATCTCTTAAAAAAAAAAGAAGAAGAAGAAAAAAAAAGAAATTAAAGATGAAAGAAAAACCCAAAAGTTCCTAAAGGTGAGAAAAAATTGCCTTTTGTCCAGCCCTACTCCCAGCCCTGTTGCCATGTACAATCTGTTTTCTTCCGGTTCTGTTCCGTCTCTTAGTTCATCTACCTGTCACTGGGCCAGTCTCTTCTGAGTCTGAGTAGCGATGACGTCGGTAACTGATGCTGAGGACAAGACCTATAAGTATATCTGCCGCCATCACAGCAATTTTTGCCGTGTGGATGTCCTAGAGATTCTGCCTTTCCTGCCCTGCCTCACAGCAAGAGACCAGGTGAGCCAGGGCAGTGACAGCTGGACTCAGCCCCATCCCCATTCCTTTTCCTGCTTCTTATGCCTTGCTTGTCCTTGCTGCTTTTTTAAAATTTTAGATGAAGTGTGGCTCAGGGTGACTTTTCTGATGTCACTGAGCTCCCTCTTGTGTTGCTTTTGTGCAGTGCTCAAACATACGATGCTGGCTGGGTGCAGTGGTTCGTGCCTGTAATCCCAGCACTTTGAGAAGCTAAGGCAAGAGGATTGCCTGAGCCCACTGGTTCGAGACCAGCCTGAGCAATATGGCGAGACCTCATCTCTATAATAAATCAAAAAAATTAGCTGGGTGTGGTGGCACATACCTGTAGTTCCAGCTACTTTGAAGGCTGGAGTATAAGGATCTCCTGAGCCCAGCAGGTTGAGTCTGCGGTGACTGTGAGTGTGCCAGTGCACTCCAGCCTGGGGGACAGAGTGAGACTCCAACTCAAAAAAAAGAGGGGAGCCGGGCTCGGTGGCTCAATCTGTAATCCCGCGCCTTTGGGAGTCTGAGGTGGGTGGATTGCCTGAACCCGCGGGTTCGAGACCCGCCTAGGCAGCGAGACCTCATCTCTACAATAAATGAAAAAAATCAGCCGGGCGTGGTAGCACATGCCTGTAATTCCGGCTACTCGGAAGGCTGAGGTGGAAGGATCGCCGGAGCCCAGCAGGTTGACGCTGTGGTGGCCGGGAGCGGCCACTGCACTCCAGTCTGGGTGACAGAGTGAGACTCCAACTCGGAAAAAATAAATAAGGGGGAAGCACATAACATCAATAAGGGTACTTGGTCTCAAACTAGGCAAATTGGGGACCAAAGGGATGCCCAAACCTGTACAATAACCACTTATCTACCTAATCCTCAATTGTATGCCACATCTTCAAAACAAAAATTTTTTAAAAACCCAAAAAGCATGGAGCTGGCCTTCTGAGATTTCCCGTCTCTGGTACCCTTGCCCACTTTTCCTGGAACCTTCTCTTTCCTTTATCTGTCTTGTCCCTGTCCTGCCCAGTTTTGATTTCGTTCTCCCTGTCGTGGGGCCCTGTTCTGGCAGGGAGCCACGGGACTCACTTTGGAGAGTTCACAGGAGCCAGATAGCTTCACCCCAGCAGAGCCTGCCACAGGCCCCTCTCATGCGCTGACTGGTGATGTGGCAAAACCCCTCCCGGTTCTAACTGCTGGTCTCCAATTGGATGTAATCCAGCATGTCTCTGTTGGCTATTTTGGGGTCCCCTGTTCTCAGGTTTCTTAGGAACGCTGTTGCTGCCCTCTGCTTCTTCCCACCCAGTGTCCGTATGCAGGTCTGTGGTCCATGGGGTCTGCTCCTCCCTCTTGTGTTCTGGGTTTGTGGAGATACCTTGTCATCTAGTTCTGTAGTAAATACTTTCCGTAAGTTTCCATTTCTGCTGTCTGGTTGCTTGTTTTTATGTGGGAGTATGGGGAGATATAAAAATTGCAGCTGCCATTATCTTCCCAGAATCTTACCAGCATTCTCAGCCTCTTGTTTCTTGGCCCTCTCTTTTCCTCCTTTGATCTTATTTTTGCTATACAGTTTTTCCTTCTCTCTCTTTTTTTAAAATTAGAGACAGTGTCTTGCTGTGTTGCTCAGGCTAGTCTCAAACTCCTGGGCTCAAGCAGTCCTCCCACCTCAGCCTCTCAAAGTGTTGGGATTATAGGCATGAGCCATCACACCCAGCCAATTTCTCTCCTAATCCAAACCTTTCTCCTTGCCCTGGGGGCCGAATAAATCCAAGGCTTTTGTATCAGATTAACTGGGTGGCCAGGCACGGTGGTTCATGCCTACAATCTCAGCACTTTGGGAAGCTGAGGTGGGAGGATTGCCTGAGCCTATAGGTTCAAGACCAGCCTGGGCAACTTGGCAGTATCTCATCTCTACAATAAATCAAAAAATTCACCAGGCGTGGTGATGCACGCCTGTAGTTCCAGCTACGTGGAAGGGGGTGGCAGAAGAATCTCCTGAGCCCAGCAGGTCGAGGCTACAGTGGCCATGAGCATGCCACTGCACTCTAGCCTGGGCGACAGACTAAGACTCTGACTCAAATAAATTAAAAAAAATAAAATAAGATTAACTGGGTTTGGATACCTGCCCTACTGTGGGATCTTTACTACAATACTTTGCTTCTGCTAAGCCTCAGTTTCCTTATTAGTAAAGTAGAGATAATGACAGCATGAAATAAGATGATTCATGCAAAACTCTTAACGGAAAGTCTGGAGCAGAGTAACAGCCTCTTTCCTGGCAGCTGCCTTCATTGTTGTTGTTAATTGCTCTTCCTCACTCCATACTTGGGCTCTTACCCTGGCCTTGTCCTGGGCTCTGATCCAGTTTCACATGGCTGCCTTCCTTTTGTGGCTTTCTTGGCGCTCTCCCTCCCTGCAGTGGCCCCCTTTTGGGTGGGGAAAAGGCCCGGACCACCTGGCTTGAGCAGGGCAGTGGCGCTGTGTCTTCCAGGACCGACTGCGGGCCACCTATACGCTCTCAGGGAACAGGGACACCCTCTGGCATCTCTTCAACAGCCTTCAGCGGCGGATCGGCTGGGTGGAGTCCTTCATTGGGGCACTGAGGACCTGTGAGCTGCCTGGTCTCGCTGACGAAGTGGCCCGTGTCTACCAGAGCTTCCTGCCTCGTGAGCTTCCTGCCCTGGCCTTCCTCCTGGACCCCTGCCTGCTCCTGGTCTCCACTTTCTCTCTCTCCTCACCCCCACACCTCCTGCTTTTCTCTGTCACCCTCCTCCCCTCACTCCACAGCCACAGACAAACGTGGGTGTAGATCCTGGCTGAAGCACTTACCAGCTGTGTTCCTCTGGCCAAGTCCCTCTGTTTCCCTGAGCCTCAGGCTTCTCCTCTGTAAAATGGAGCTAATGGCAGCGCCACCACGAAGGACTGCAGTGGATGGACACTGCGGGACGGTGCATACCGAATGTTTAGCTGGGCTCAGGACCCCCGTTTGCTGAGTACATGAGGTCACCTCTGCTTGAGAGGCTGTAGCATTTGCCTCCCACCTTCCTCATTTCCTCTTCTCCCACCGTTCATTCACCCTCCCTCTTTCCACTTTCTCTTCCCCTCCCCGGATTTACCTGAGGGCCTTCCATCTGCCCCCTACCCGCTGCCCAGTTACTCTGCAAGTCCCTCTCAATGCCTCCTGCCAGTCGGGGTGCCCAGAAGGGATTTGGTGAAATCAAGTTTGAGGGGGAAACACAGGAAGAAAAATCAAGCCAGCTCTATTTCTGTTTCAAGCCAGAAGTAATGCCTGAGACTGGTCAGATATGTTTTGGGACTTGCTTTTATTTATTTTTTCTCTCCCTCTTTCCTTCTTCATTTTCTTTCCTTCTCGCCTATCATGACTCTGTGGAGATTAACAGCAATCCCCTGAGTACAAATAGCTGTGATCGGGCCAGGGTAGTTGATGGGGGTGAAGGGGAGGGGCAGAAGAGGCAGTATCAAGGCTGGGGGCCATCAGTGGTAACAGCTGTGAGGAGGAGCAAGCGCTAGGTTTCAGAATGTCTGGGGACTGAGAAGGGGAGGGACTGACAGTCTGGGTGGTGAGAGGCTCAGGAGGCTCCCTGCACACGCACCCTCCCAACCCCCACCTGTCCTTGTCCTCCCAGCTCCTCTCTCTCTCCCTCTTCTGCCCCTCCCCAGTGATGCTTATTTCCTCTGAGGAGTGACCCACATGGGCGCAGCTTTTGGAGCTACGGGGGTGGTGTGTGCCCGAGAGCACCCAGGCCTCTCCTTCCATGGGGTACTCTGATTCCTTCTTGATGCCACTGTGTCTTTCCTCCAGGGACCTTGAATCACCCCCCAGCCTCGCTGGAACCAGTTCGTGCTGAGGCTCCAGGGCTCTCTCTACCTGTCGCCACCCCCAGCGTCCCCTCCAACGGCTACAGGATGATGGAGCCAAGCTACCCGATGCCCGTCCAGGAGAGCCAGCAGCTGAAAGCCTCAGAGGAGGTTTGTGCTCACAAGCCCCCTGGAGCCACCAGCTTCTGTGTTTCTTCTGCACATCTGCTCACTCAACCTGTCAGACGTCCTCTCCTCTTCCCCCAGAATTATGCCTAATCTCTGCTCAGAAACCCAGGGCTCCTTCAGTGGGGATCTGTTCCAGACCAGCTTTCAGACTGCTGACCAGGCCTGCATCCTGGGCAGCCCCCAAACCTAAGCCATCAGCCAGCTGGGAGGCCACAGTTGTGAGGTCTTTGTAATGGTCCATATGAGATATTGAGTTGGGTGGAGGCACCTGGGGAGTGACCAGCTGAGGAACAGTGAGGGAGCAGGAGGTCATGGGGCAGGGGTGATTGGTGGGGCTGTCATTATTGCTGATAAAGTCAAGTTTGGGGGAAAGATGACCGATTCTGTTGAGCTATAATGAGTGGGAAGTGAGGTGTCCAGGAGACCCCAGACTGTGGACCTGGAGCCTAAGAAAGGGGTCTGTGATTCCCTGAATACAGACAGCTGTGGTAGGGCTGGGATACGTGATGGGGAAGGGGCTGAGGAGGCAGCATCAGGGCGGGGGTCAGTTAGTGGTAACAGCCCCAGGAAGGGGAAAACTAGTGGCTGCAGAAAGAGAGAGACCTTTCTACAGGGCCAGACAAATGGGGACTCCCCATGGGATGCTGTGTGTTTCTGTGAGGTAGATGCAAGGTCACCTGTGGACAGGGATCTGGCAATGACCAATACTGAGTAAAGGTCTCCTGTGGCTCCTATGCTGTGGCCTGTAGGAGATGCTCAAGAGTATAAGCTGCTCTTTGCCAGCTCTTGAGAGAGGTCACTGCCTTATTCATATTATCCCTCTTGCAGACATCCAGCTCTGGAGCCACCCAGAGTAGGCTGGGTGGGACCCTGGAGCCCTCCTGTGACCTGGCAGCCCTCAGCCCTCTGACCTCCAGTGGGCCTCAGGAGCAGGACATAGAATTGGACAGCACTCACACAACAGGTATGCGTGGAATCTGGGGTTATAGGGCCTCTCTGACCTCTCAAGTGAAGGTGAGGACTAGAGTTGCCCCTCTAGCTTCCTTGGACAGGAGGCAGAGTAGGAATAAAGGGAGTTCAACCTAGGAAGCAAACTCATTTCTTATAGAGTGTATCCGTTAGTATTTGCTGTGTAACAAACAGTCCAAAACATTTTTAAAAATAGTAGCTTAAAATAAAGCCATTTATTTAGCACATGATTCTGTGGACCACTTGGGCTGACCTACCTGGGCAGTTCTGTTCTCGGCTGAACTTCCTTTCATGTACTCAGCAATATGTACATAAGCTCTGCTTTCGGTTATTGGCTGGGACACTTTGGTTCTTTCCCTTGTGGTCACTCATCCTCCAACACACAAACCTGTCTCTCGGCAGCTAGGCAGAGTTCTGAGAGAGAGAGAACGCATGTGTGTGCACACACTCAAAACTGGCCCAATGTCCTCCTCCCATTCTGTGGGCCAAAGCAAGTTATAAGGACAGCCCAGACTCAAGGAGTAGGGAATAGGCTACACCCCTAGATGGGAGGACCGATGAGGGGGTGCTTACAGGTAGGGAAGAGGCCACTTCTGCACTCTGCCAAAGGGATACTGTGGGGATCAGCTGGGGCCTGGAGCACAATACCAGGACTGGGCCAGGTGTTGGCAGGGAGCTCTTAGACACTGCCCTGCCTCAAAAGGGTTTCCAGTTCCCAGAAAATCACTAGAACTTTTCAGTCCCAGAAGAAGTGAGACCTTTACCAGCCAGAGGCCTGGACCCCACTGTGCTTCCCCTCAGAAACATAGAGCTGTCCGCCCCACCCTAACCTCCCAGGCTGGCATGTCTCTCTCCTGCTTCCTAAACTGTGTTCCAGATGACACGGTTACCCAGGCAACCTTTAGTGTCCAGGACAGCCACAAGGTACACAAGCAGTTAAAGGCTGGAAGAGGCTGTCTTAGTACTTCTCTCTCACCCAAACTGCCACAAGTACCTGTTTGTACTTTGTAGTGTTACCTTGTCATGGAATGTCTCTGCTGCTGTGAAGACAGAGGGCACTTAGATTTCAGCATGTTTGTAGACACAGGTCCCATGAGAGTCTGTGATACTAGATTTTGGGGGGAGTATATCAGAATCACCCTGACCTTTGTTAGCAGTGAGACCTGGTGTGTGTGTTCTCAGAGTCCCATGGAAAATCCCGATGCAGCTGTCCTTACGGGCTGTCACGACCTGCTACCTCCTGCTTCCCCGAGGTCAGGCCTCCTCCCAGGGATGGCTTTGTCCCTGCCTCTCTCGCTGGGGTCTGGCTGGGCCTCTGGTGTCCCATAAGCTGTTCTGCATGAGCCATCTTGCCCTGCTCCAGGATTGCTCCCACTTGGTTGGGGGAGGGAAGGGACAGCGGTGCGGGTAGTGTCCAAGCAGCTAAGGAGAAGGAGGAAAGGCAGACACAGAAGGAGTGGGGAGGCATCCCAGGCAAGAGAATAATTAATAATGATCTTCAAGCTCCTAGGTGCTGTTAGAGGGACCATCCCACTATGTGACAGGACAGGCTTGGGGCCACAGGTCCAGAACTGAGAGCAGCTGTTGGGCCTTCAGTGACCCAAAGGACTACAGGGTCTCCTCCATGGGCAGGAGACTTGGAGGTTTAGTTGCAGGAGGGACGGTGTGACCTGGGGCAGAGGGGGCCCTTCTCCAGCCCTTAGGATAACGGCCTTTTGGGTTTGTGTTTCCCCGCCTGCAGGTGCAACCTCCAGCCTCACATTGTCCCGTGGGCCTGTGTCTCCATCTCTCTCCTTTCAGCCCCTGGCCCGTTCCACCCCCAGGGCACACTTGCCTGGACCAACAGCGTCTACTGACACCTTGTCCTGCTCCTCATCCACTGGTTTGGCTTCTGCAGAGGCTGCAGCAGGGGACCAGCCTGAGCCTGTCATCTGCTCCAGTGGGGCAGAGGCACCCACCAACTCTGTGTCCTCTACTGTGCCTGCCACCTCGATACCTGTGAACACAGTACCACCCAAAGTGCTTGCCAACCCAGCATTTGCCAGCTCAGTGCCTTCCAAGTTGCCCTCCAGCTTGAAGCCCCCTGGTACAGTGCCTTCCAATGTGCTTACCAGTCCAGCACCGTCCAAACTGCCCATCACCTCAACACGTGCCGGCTCGGTATCATCCAGAGTGCCCACTAGCATGGAGCCTGCCAAGGCCCCTGCCAGCACGGTTCCCACCAGAAGGAGCAGCAGCAGCAGAGTTGAGGTGAGTCCTCGCCCCTCCTAGCAGAGATTCAGGTCCCTTCCCCAAGGAGTGCTTGCCCGCCTGGCCCTGTCCTCGGACCCTTCCCAGTCTTCATCTGTCTCCAGCCTGGGTTGATCCACAGCCTCTCCTTGAGGGTTTAGGGACAGCTGAGAACCAGCCTCATCCAGACCCCATACCAGGCCCTCCAGGAGGAATAATCATTAGAGCTCCTAGATGTGGGCATGGAGGCCACACCCACCAGTCACATGCATTGGCTCACTTAGTGAAGCTTAGCAGTATCGCTTTGCACATGAGGAAGCAATGAGGAGGCGAGCACAACGCCCTGTCCACCTCGTGCCTTGCTCTTCACTGCCAGGATGCTCAGCTTCCCCTCTACCCCAGGCTTTATGGACTGTGATCCCAGCCCATCCAGCTGGAGTGGCCACTCTGACCCAGCGGCCCCCCACTGTTACCCTCTCCAAGCCTCACATCTAACCCTCCAGGCAGATATCCTTCCCCTCCCCCGACCAAGGGGGAGCAATCCTGGATCAGACATCTGCCTGGAGGAGCCAAGTCAGTACATGGGGCTCTGTGGCTTTCAGGTCCAGGCAGAATGTCAGTGCAGGATGGGGCCCCACCCTACCAAGAGCTTTGGGGTGGGGTTGAGCTCACAGGCAGGCCAGTGAGTAGGGAGAGGGCTGCCCTGGAGAAGGCTACCACTGGTACTGCTACAGGGCCTCGGTCCCCTCCTCTCCAACTGTCCCAAGAGAAAGTGGCCTCAGGGCATTATGAGTTAGGAATTAAGGGAGTGGGTGCAAGTTCATGCCCTGGCCTGGGAGTGGGGCCACCCTTCCCGGCTTCTCTCCTTGCTAAACCCAGTCCCTTCTAGTGCTCTCCTTTTTTTCTCAGGAGACCCCAGTGCCCACAAGCACCACTGGAGGCAGCTTGGCCCCGCCAGACAGCAGCCCTGAGCATTGGGGCCCTGGGCCACAGCTGAGCAAGCCAGGTGTGCTGGTATCCCACGAGGACATCCAGTTCTCCGGCTGCTCCGCGGACCTCGCCATCAGTACCAGCAGCTCCTTAGATGCAGGGCCCAGCCATGGCCCAGAGGAGAATGAGTATGAGTCTGTGGGTACCTTTGGGATCCATGTGGCCAAGAACCCCAGTGTCGACCTCCTGGTGGGCAATCCTGGGCCTCCTGCCGACCTCCTGGACGGCAGCCCCAGGCCACATGCCCACTCAGAGCTCCTGGAGGAGGTGATGCAGTGCAACTCGACTGTGCCCTGGGTTCCATGGTTTCAGGCAGCCATGGCTGGGGCGCTGGTGGCCACACTGTTGGCAGTGTTGTACCGGCGGCGCCTGCTCTAGTGATGCTTTCAGCCCTCCCCCCACTCTCCTGCTCCGTTCAGCAGCACACCCAGCCTTCCTCGGGACTGGTGGGAGCTGGGGCAGAGAAGAGCTCAGGGACCGCAGGCCTGGCAGGAGGAAGTGTCTTGGCCAAACTGAGTCCCAGGAGCAGCATTTCTGTCCCTGTTCCTGTCCTCTGCGGGTCCCTCACTATCCTTGGCTTTCTGGGCCCTGGGCTGCCCCCAGTGTTCCAGACCTCACTCACCTGGCAATCTGGGTTGTCATCTGTGTCCTCCTGGATCAGGAGGTGCTGCTCAAGAGCACAGGGGGTTGGTAATGCCCCTCATCTTACACAGGTCCCTGGAGACCCCAAGTGTGCAGTGTGGGGACCCCACAGGACCTTTCTCACACTCCCAGCAGCCTAGCCTTAGGCCATTGCACTGGGCAGGCAGAAGCAGCAGGGTGGCTGGTCTCTGGGGACCCCGCTGTTTTGGGTTCCTGCTCTGCTGGTCCCTCTCCCCTCCCAGGCAGCCCTGGGGAGGTCTGGAGGTTCCTGTGGACCCCAGGGAAGCCAGAGGCTGCTGCCAAGCCTGAGGAAGACCTCTGGCACTCCCTTCTCCTCCCCTTCAGTCTCCTCTTTCCCTCCCTCTGGTCACCTCAGCTTCCTCCACAGGTGGGGGTAGGGGGTGGACACCTGGTAGGCAAAACTCAGGCCGAGCTTTGGATCTCAGCCCCACCCCTTCTTGTGTTGCCTTGGTAGATATCAGACTTCTCTGGTCTTGCTTCCTCATATGGACAGGGAGTATCTGGCTTATCTTTCACTGGGCTCTTCTGAGATGAAGCTTACAGGTGTTTGCTGAGTGCTGGCCCAGCGGGGGTGACCACTAATTGGTTCTCCCACCTCTCTCCTGCCCAACCTGGTAGAGCTGGGACATGAGAGGCAGAGTGCACAGTGGAGCCGCATGCTGCTCTACAGTGTAGGGCGGCCTAAGTTTGCATCCCGCTGCCTCTCACTAGCTCTGTGACCTTGGGTGAGGGGTTAACCTCTGTGTGCCTCAGTTTTCTCACCTGTGAAATAGGGGTGAATATATTCTGGTGTTGTGAGGATTAAATGAATTTATTGCTGTAAATCTTAGGGTGGTTCCTGGCAATTACTAAGGGTCGGACACATCCTGTTATCAGTATTTAATGTGGAGGGACTGGAGCTTTGGCTACACCTGTGGAGACCTGTCTGCCTCAGCCCTTGTTATTTATTTTTTTGAGTTGGAGTCTCACTCTGTCATCCAGGCTGGAGTGTAGTAGTACGCTCACAGCCAACACAGCCTCAACCTGCTGGGCTCAGGCGATCCTTCCTCCTCAGCCTTCCAAGTACCTGGAGCTACAGGCATGCACCACCATGGCTGGCTAACTTTTTTGATTTATTGTAGAAACGAGCTCTCACCAAGTTGCCCAGGCTGGTCTTGAACCCCTGGGCTCAGGCAATCCTTTGGCCACTGCCTCCCAAAGTTCTGGGATTACTGGTGTGAGCCACTGTTCCTGGCTCTCATTATGTTTACCTTACTTTGTCCTGTGCTTTAGAAGTTGTTGGGAAGGGAGGTGTGTCCATTGGGCAACTGTGCAAAGGGTGGGGCTAGGGTGTTCTCCCCACTCCCACCCTAGCATTATTTACACCAGGAACATATAGGGGTGGACTGGGGTATTCTCTTGGGTTCTTTTCAGGTAGCCATTGCTGGACAAGCATAGGCCAAGGGGTAGGCACAGGAGCCACTTGTTTCTGGGCTCTGCAAGGGACAAGGACTAGCGCCCTTGGGGACAAGCTGTCAGCCTCCAGGCTTCTGCCTCATGCTTTGGCTGCTGTAACTTTTCCCCTGACTGCCCTAAGGGACTCCAGCGACCAAATGATCTCTGCCTCCAGAGTTTCTCCATCCCCTGCTCCAGATCCAGCAACCTGCACCCTGGATGCAGGAGTGGTCCCTACCAAGCTGTCTGCCCCCTCCTCATCCCCCTCACTTTTAGCCAGCCCTCTACCCCCCTCACCTCATGTCAGGCAGGTCATTGAACAGTTCATGCACAGGTACTAGATTTCATGTGTTGCCCTCCCAGGGTAGCTTTGAAAAATGTGTCTCAAGAAACCTAGCACCAACTGTGGCTTTCATGGCCCTGGGCTAAAGGGAAATGAGCAGAAGGTGAGCACAGGGGGAGCATGTGGTTATCATACATAGGTGAGGTGTCAGTTTCATACAGATGCATTAGGGCCAAGGCCCCTGAGCCTCCTTATTTTTTTGAGTCAGAGTCTCAGTCTGTCACCCCAGCTTGAGTGCAGTGGCATGCTCATGGCCACTGCAGCCTCGACCTGCTGGGTTCAGATGATCCCTCCGCCTCAACCTCCCAAGTAGCTGGAACTGCAGGCACGCGCCATCATGCCCAGCTAGTTTTTCTTGATTTATTGTAGAGATGAGATCTTGCCAAGTTGCCCAGGCTGGTCTCAAACCCACGGGCTCAGGCAATCCTCTCGCCTCAACTTCCCAAAGTGCTGGGATTATAGACATGATCCTGGTCCCTGAGCCTACTTTCCCTGGAGGTGGGGGGCCACCCCCAGAAGGCAAAGTGTAGCCCAGAGAATGTTGCCCAAGCGGTGGAATATTCCAGCTCAGTAGCCAGCCACTAGGGGAGGTGCTGTGGGTAGGGTGTGTAGGAAGGGTTGAAGGACTTTCTTGGCACTTTTCAAATGGGGCTGCCCAGAAGCCCTGACTTGGCCTGTGCTGAACGGCAACCCGTCGACTGTTAGCAGCCTGAAGGCCTCTCAGTGCTGACTTCAAGCAGGGATGGGAACTGGCAGGCATATCAGCACTGTCAGGTCTCGGGAGTCTTCTGTCTGGAGTGCGACTTCTGGCTGCAGGAGGATGCATGTCTGGGGAGAGTCAGGCAGGTCACCCTCACAGCCAGGGCCCAGACAGTGTAGAGCTCAGGACCCAAGGCAGGGAGGGAGAACCTAGCCACCCATCCTTGGGGACCTGAGAAAGTACACCTCACTTGGGGTGAAGGCTGGGTGGTGCCAGGGTTGCCAGTGCACTCCGTGCTTGGGGGCAGACCCACCTGCAGCCAGGGGGTCTGCACGCAGGCCCCCCTCCTCCTTTCTCCTGTTGAATCATTTCCCTCAGAGCCCAAGAGCCGTCACTGCTTCTCCTTGCCTTGGAAGTACCTGTGGGCTCTGCTTGATGAAGCCAGACAATGCCACAGCCTCACCTTATGTCCCTTGCTGCATGCTCAGATTTAGGGGAATTCTTTTTTTGTGTGTGTGTTGGAGTCTCACTCTGTCACCCAGACTGGAGTGCAGTGGCTGCTCCCGGCCACCGCAGCCTCGCCTGCTGGGCTCCAGTGATCCTTCCGCCTCAGCCTTCCGAGTAGCCGGAATTACAGGCACGTGCTACCACGCTCGGCTGATTTTTTGATTTATTGTAGAGATGAGGTCTCGCTGCCCAGGCGGGTCTCGAACCTGCGGGCTCAGGCAATCTACTCACCTCAGCCTCCCAAAGGTGCGGGATTATAGGCTGAGCCACCGAGCCCGGCGATTTAGGGGAGTTTTTAGCCAACGATCAGGGAGATGCCCTTTACCTTAAAATTATTAACAGGTTCCTTTAAGAAGCATTATTTATTATGAACAGTTTTCTTTTTCTTTTTTTTTCTTTTTTGAGCCAGAGTCTCACTCTGTCACCCAGGTAGAATGCAGGGATACACTCATGGCCACCACAGCTTCGACCTGCTGGGCTCAGGTGATCCTTCTGCCTCAGTCTTCCAAGTAGCTGGAACCACAGGCATGCACCATCATGCGTGGGTAATTTTTTTCTATGATTTATTATGTAATTATGATTATGGGTAATTATGATTATGGGTAATTATGATTCTATGACGAGGTCTTGCCATGTTGCTCAGGCTAGTCTCGAACCCCTGAGCTCAGGCAATCCTCTTGCCTCGGCCTCTCAAAGTGCTGAGATTATAGGTGTGAACCACCACACCTAGCTTATTGTTATTTTTTTTTTGCCCAAGTCTCAGTCTGCCACCAAGGCTGGAGTGCAGTGGCATGATCACAGCCATCGCAGCCTTGACCTGCTGGGCTCAGGCGATCCTTGTTTCAGCCTTCCACGCAGCTAGAACCACAGGCGTGCACCAACATACCCAGTTAATTTTTTGATTTATTGTAGAGATGAGGTCTCACCAAGTTGCCCAGGCTGGTCTCAAACCTGTGGGCTCAGGCAATCCTCCCTCCTCTGCCTCCCAATATTATGGACAACTTTGTTTTTTCTTTTTTGAGTTGGAGTCTCACTCTGTCACCCCAGCTGGCGTACAGTGGCATGTTTATGGCCACCACAGCCTCGACCTGCTGGGCTCAGGTGATCCTTCCACCTCAGCCTTCCAAGTAGCTGGAACTACAGGTGCATGCTACCATGCTTGGGCTCAGGCAATCCTTTCGCCTCCACCTCCTAAAGTGCTGAGATTACAGGCATGAGCCACCGTGCCCGGCTTATGGACAACTTTCAAACAGCAAAAGCAGAGAGAGAATGACAGTCGCCAAATGCTATTGCCCAGCTTCAGTAATGATCACCTCATGCCATCTTGTCATCTGTGCCTACTTCTTCTTTTGGTACAGATTATTATTATTATTATTATTATTTTTTGAGTTGGAGTCTCTGTCACACAGGCCGGAGTGCAGTGGCATGCTCATGGCCACCCCAGCGTTGCCCTGTTGGACTCTGGTGATCCTTCCGCCTCAGCCTTTCAAGTAGCTGGAACTACAGGCATGCGTTACCATGCCCGGCTGTTTTTGATTTGTTGTAGAGATGAGGTGTCACCAAGTTGCCTAGGCTGGTCTCAAACCCCTGGGCTTAGGCAACCCACTCGCCTCGGCCTCCCAAAGTGCTGGGATTACAGGCTGAGCCACCGAGCCTGGTCCTTTTTTTTTCTTTTTGTAGCAGGCCATCTCAGGATGCATGTACAGGTTCTTATGTAAGTAAGAGAATGAAGGGTTCAGAAAAAGAACGGCAGACATGGTCAGGAGGATTTCATGCCTGAGGCCCTCTGTCTTCTCCCAGGCAGCTTGAAGCATTCACCTCTTGGTTTCTTAGCCTCTGTGGGTGACATTTCTCTCCTTCAACCGAGTCAAAGTGTGAGTAGCACAGGACACTGTCTTTTTTTGTTTTTTGAGTTGAAGTCTCACTGTCACCCAGGCTGAAGTGCAGCGGCATGCTCATGGTTACCGCAGCTTCGACCTGCTGGGCTCAGGTGATCCTTCC